AGGGTATATTTAAGACCAGGGTATTTGTGGTCTTACCTCAAACTGACATGCCGTGATATAACTGAAATACTGTAAGTTTTAAGTTCAAAGCGGCGTCAAACCAGTCACACACTCATGTATGTTCGGATGTGATATCCTGTAAATAATGTGTTATATAATTGTGTATACACTACACACGTAGCTTGTGTTCAGTTACAGTGTATCACATTACATAATCTCCTTTCTATTTAGGGGCGGTCGGGTAAGCGTTCGCTCGTCACGCCAAAGACCCGGGTTCGATTCCCAACATTGGTAGAATGCGTGAAGCCCATTTCTGGTGTGCCCCGCAGTGATATTGCTGGAATATTGCTAAAAGCGGCGTAAAAGCATACTCACTCACTCACTCCCCATTTATATTAACATAGTGTCTTAAATTGCAGATTATGAGATTACAATAAGTTGGAAGGGGAACATTTCTATATGTAGATTGTGTTACAAAGTGATACGAGGCCGAGGGTTGACTGACAAGATCAGTATGCTGTTATACAAAGCGATCTTAGCGCTAGGGTTGTCGTCACTCCTATACCTTAACATAGACTCACGACAGTCGTAGTGCTACGGTTCTTTTGTACACACGAAACCACGAGCCTCACGTAGTAGTAAGGTAATGGTTAAATATTTTGTTGTGGACATAACACGATGTAATAATAGAAGTATGGCCACACACAAATTCGCTTACTTCGCGTGATTTAACTGTAAGACTGTTCAATGCGGTGTTAAACTCACCTCACTCACCATACACTCGTCGTACAATGTAATATAGTTATGTTCTTTTTAAGGTTGTAAAGGCAAGCCCAGTGTTGGACGATGCAGGGGGGAGATGATTGTTCGATTCTACTACGACGCTTACAGCCAACGATGTAAGCCTTTTATCTACCGTGGCTGTGGTGGTAATACTAACAGCTACCGAACGATGGACACCTGTAGGAAGACGTGACGCCGTACCTAGCCTGTTATTCAGTTAAAATCAGTATATCCTACATTGGTCTTATTGTTATCTCTCTAGAAATCAAAGGGTGGCCCTAAAGAGATTGCAAATTTAGAACTCGTCTGTATCTAGTGCGGCAATGTAGAAAATACCATCCTGGAACGTTACTTGGTCCATGATGTATGTATACGTGAGACATGTGACACGAAGACGTTTTACATCAGATCTGATATTCTAAGGTCATGTATAAGATAGCTACTCGATTCGTCGCAAATAACAATAAAGAACGAAGCGTGGTTTATTTCACAATGAAACATTGTTCTATCAAGACGTCATTTATTCGAATATGCGCGCGCATCTTGATGACGTCATATATTGGACAACGCTATTTTTGAGAGAAGTGTATAGTAAATTGTTCCCCAAAGATGAAGCTAGGAAACACAGACAAACGATCGCTTACAAAAATTGGAGAGATAAGACAATCGGTATTAGGAAAAAAGGCATAGATAATCGACGTTTGTGAGCATATGCGGGAAATACTATTACCCAACTTAACCCACCTGTTCGTAAAATGGACTTGTCCGACATTTCCGAGGTCAGATTCCATCATCATTATTAAAATTTGGGTAAATATTTTAAAAGTTTGTACATTTTATCAACATCCTTAAAGAGGTACATAGTGTTGATAGCTCATAAAATATGAATAAGACATGTATTAATAAGTTGTGTCTGAAGAATACTATGAGAGAGCTACAATACAATGAAACGAGGGAAATTGTAAGGTTAAAATAATGAATGTATATATACTAGCCCGTAGCATGTTAAATAAGATGTCATTAAATGAGTGTGTTTATGAGACTGCCAGAATGTTTGCATTCCTATGTCCCGTTCATTTCACACTGATTTATGTAATGTTATTTTATTAATAACACAAAATAATTAGCTGTAGGGAATACCCCTCACATGAGTACAATGTGTGAAACCCATTTCCTGGCGTTCCCCGCCGTGTTATTGCTGGAATATTGCGAAAAGCGGAGTAAAACCATACTCACTCACTCCCTGTAGTGAATGCTACTTGTTGTGTCTTATATATTTAAGACTGTGCGGAGGATCTGACCGCGTCAACGCGACGTATGTACACATTATTAAGGAAGCCTTTAAGGGCCATTTGTTTTTATACTTTGAATACTAGAAATTCCAACGAATTATCTTGAAATTTCAAGACACTTATTGAAATTTCAAGATGCTAGGTTGAAATTTATATTATGTATGTATCTTGAAATTTCAACATAGAATCTTGACATTGTAAGAAAAAAGTAAACAAGTGGCCATAAAAGGCTTCCGTACAATATAACAGTGATCTAGTATGTAAAGCATGGTGTCGACACTGACAAACTGTATGGGTGTGAAATCGTTAATACGCGTCTACTTCGGTCCTAGCAACTCATGCTTGCCGTAAAAGGCGACTATGCTTATCGTAAGAGGCGACTAACGGAATCGGGTGGTCAGGCTCGCTGACTTAGTTGATGAATGTCATCGTATCCCAATTGCGTGGATCGATGCTCGCGATGAAAAACACGGGATTGTCTGTTTCAGACTCGGTTATTTACAGACCGCAGTCATATAGCTGGAATATTGCTGAGTGTGGCGTTAAACAACAAACAAACAAACAAACTTCGGGCCTTGAGGAGGTGAGATAAAGTGGATGCTGTTCAACGCCGCTTCAGTCATATTCCCAACTATAAGACCGCGAGTCTTGGCCTGAAACACGCCAAGGGGACAAGATGACACTAAAGTAGCAAACTATCCCCACTGATGTTCGCTCTCACGACAAATTTGAGGTACTGGGTACCTATTCTGGTTTGTCATTGATGTGAGAGGAAAGTCCGAATAAATGCAGAACAAAGACGTTTACCATCTCGGTGAAACCCACGAGGACGGGTATGGTGCTGTTTAAACAAGAAACATAATCAGGGCGAATCTGGCATTCGAACACACGATCATAGGTTTCTGGGAGGTCTAAGGTACGCATCCCCGCACAACGAAATGTAGGACAGCCAGGCCACTGGTCTACCCACGGTAATGAGATTTCTACATTGCTACCTTGAGGCGTCGGATGTCATTACCTCTATCAAAACACATTTCTGGTTGTCAGAGCCAAAGAATACATATTGAACAAAAAAACCAGTTTTATACACTGTATATATATTGCTGGAACATATATATGAAATAATTGCTAGTAAGCATTTAAACGTAAACTCAACTCACTCACTCAGTACATGGACACCGCATTTTGAATGTATTTAATCATGCATTCTGAACTGTTGTAAATTAAATAAAGTCATCCCACGTCAAGGCTAGCTTGTGTGGCAGAAAGTCTCACAGGGGCGTTTTACTCCAATAAATCGTATTGGTAAGACTTTAACGAGTAAAAGATTAAAATATCTAACGTTACTGTGATATATTGCCTTGTCATTGACATGAAATGTATTATAAATTGATATTTTCTTCGTCATACGATTAAACGAATTTATAAATTATTTAATGTGTTTCTTACATTTTCACTCATATGAAAAACAAGTGGACAGAACATAGTTGTTGGGAATTGCTTGACGTTCTAACCTCACGACCCAGAACAACTTAAAGTCATGAAATTTGACATGTGATTTCCCACTTAGTACATCAGGATTCCGTCTCGAAAGACGTGTTTCATGGTAACATTGTTGTTGTGTGGATCGAAGGGTAGTTCCCGAGGTACCACAGGTCACCAGGGAAACATGGTAGCTGAAGTCGTAAATAAAAGCGACAAAACCTTTTTCTTAATAAAAACATTCCACTGTATGGTTCTGACTATATCATAAGGATATGTTTATGAATCACTATCAAATAGTTACCATACCAGGTGTTCGCGGTAGGCGGGTGTTTCCTGTTCCACCAGTGGCACCCATCAAAATCACATGCAAGTCACGTTTTTTCCCCAAGACACACGGGATCCATTCAACCATGATCAAAAACATTTGAACAGTTAAAATAAGGTATTTGTTGTTACCTTGCCTGGCGCACGGCATTGTATTCAGGGGCTAAAACAAGGACTGGTCGACTCGGAGTCAGTAAACTGTGTCAGAGTGGGGTTTCCGGCATTTGTCCGGACGAGTACTAGTTACCACTCACACACACACACGTACGCACGCACGCACGCACACACGCACGCACACACGCACGCGTTTACCTCACATATAGACAATATGAGAGTTTCTAGCTGTCCTTGCTCGGTATATAAGCATAAACATTCCGCAAAGGTAATACCTGTTATATTCTACTACCTACGAGACCGAAGCTCTTTCACAAACAGCAACATAGTGGAAACCTGTTCATGATCCATCTACTATAAATGGTAATACAAAATAACTGAATGCTTCTTGTAGCTCACCAGTATCAATGCATAAAAATTCATATGTACACACAGATTTATGACAAAAGGAGGATTGATCCCCACTATATCCAACCTTCATGTCAAGCAACATATATTTTATGTTGAACGTCTAAATGTGCTTGAAGGGAACATTTGTGAGCAAAGGCGTAACATCATTTGTGAAACACAACTTGAACATATGAATGATCTCACGTCACATTCTACAAAATCCTCTGATGTGGTAACACCTTTCTACTTTCCTCAATCGCAATTCCAGATATATTGTGATGTTTTCTTCATCAGATGAGCTCGTGGTGTTTGAATCTCCTCCTCCAAGCAAGTTTGTCTTTGTAGGTACACAAAATATACCAATGGCATTTCCGAACGCTTCTTCATCAGACGCTTCTTACTAACAAAATCTCCAAATCAAAATTGATTCAGTGATCTAAATTCCTATAATGACACTACACCCTGAGCTCGTGTATTAGCTTGTCATCAGACTATACACCTATATATTTTCACATTTTTCAACACATGCCACAGCTCTTTGTCTTAGTGATTTAACTACCCATAGGCAATCACACAATGCAAACATAGCCTTAATTACTGAAGCAGATGCCGTGACGTTTAAACACAGATACGTGTTAAGACAGTCACATTTATCAAAATCAAACAAGAGGCGTGGCTTTTAAAAAACAAGCTGAACACGATGAAATACTGATAGGATTTTCCCTCACACACGGAGCCTTCTGCTATACATCTGAGACGTATCTACATCGACTATGGTGAAGGTTGTCGTCACTTTAGCTTTTGTTTTCCTCCATACAGGACACAGTCTTCATCCCTATCCGGGTGAAGGTGAGGTATAGAGATGTCTTTAGGACGTGTTAAATATTGAATTGCTACATTTTATTTTAGTATGCCTATTGAATTTCATTATCCTTTACGTGTGCTTCGTTTTTAAATTCAGAGTGACTGTGTTGTATTTTGATTCCCCTAAGCATTGGCATATTGACACGTTAGAGCGTGTTGATATTAATGTGTGATGGCTCCATTTCTCTGTTGTACGTACGTGTAGATAGTACGTTGTGATTACTTTTTGGTATCACTTAAGGGCACAGGTGACCCAGTCGTGTTAGACACTGCATTGCTCAGACTGTGTAATATGTGATATGTGATATGGCTTCTTCACATCATATTTATCGTATTACATGTAACTGTTGTTGTTTTTAAATCGGAAGGCCTCTATTATCTTTCTAACTTTTGAAAAGATGCCATATCACTACTTCAGTCATGTTTCCTTCTACTATAGGCTAGGTTGTGAGAACCGACAAAGGCTACATGCGTTTTATTTTAGCACCTAGATTTTCATATATATTACCTGGTATTACATCCGACGTTAACGGCAGAGAATAATCACTCTCGATAATCTGCCGATGCAGACTTCATTGGACGTAAGAAGGCAAAATAGTGGTAAAAATTATATGAATGGATCACTGTGATCACTGATGACACACAAGTGTTCGCGAAAGCGTAAGCATGTCCTGCCCTACACTTAGCACCCGCCACACACACAATTTGCATAGACAAGTAAGTGTCTGTTGCCTGACGCGACACAGCACCAGAAACACCATGTCAGCATAATGTATGGTACCGACATGTCACATTACACAACGTTGTAATGCTTGAAGCCTAACACAATGGAGATGTCAAACAATTCCTCATAATTCTAGACGAGTAACAACATATATTGCAACCATTATCTTAAAAAACCCAAGATTATCTGACAACCGTATTTCTTATTATCTGTGTGACAATTGTCAATAAAGTATGGCTGGGGTGTCTGAAATATTGTATGGGAACAAAACATAGTGTCTGTAATATACTTTCTAACTATCCATCTATTTGTCTTGCTTGGTGCTGCATGCTGTTAGATCAAGACTGAATGTTCATGTCATCAAGGAATATTATTCAGAAGTGATCAGACGTTCCCAAACAGGATGTCTCAATATTTGTATTATTCAGATGTATGGTGTGTCCGAGGTCCCCAAACATCATCTCAATATTTGTATAATTCAGATGTGTGGTGTGTCAGAGGTCCCCAAACATCATGTCTCAAAATTTGTCTAATTCAGATGTATGGTGTGTGAGAGGTCCCCAAACATCATGTCTCAATATTTGTATAATTCAGATGTATGGTGTGTGAGAGGTCCCCAAACATCATGTCTCAATATTTGTATAATTCAGATGTATGGTGTGTGAGAGGTCCCCAAACATCATGTCTCAATATTTGTATAATTCAGATGTATGGTGTGTGAGAGGTCCCCAAACATCATGTCTCAATATTTGTATAATTCAGATGTATGGTGTGTGAGAGGTCCCCAAACATCATGTCTCAATATTTGTCTAATTCAGATGTATGGTGTGTGAGAGGTCCCCAACCATCATGTCTCAATATTTGTCTAATTCAGATGTATGATGTGTTAGAGGTCCCCAAACATCATGTCTCAATATTTGTCTAATTCAGATGTATGATGTGTTAGAGGTCCCCAAACATCATGTCTCAATATTTGTATAATTCAGATGTGTGGTTTGTTAGACGTTCCTAAACATCATGTATCAATATTTGTATAATTCAGATGTGTGGTGTGTTAGATGACTTCCTTACCTCATGACTTATTAGTAATATTTTAGGGTTGTGCTACGTCAGCTGTCCCTCATACATTGTGTCAATATTAGTATCATTCGGGTTGTTAAAGAGTTTTCAACATGATATACACTTTCCTTCAGTCTGCAACCAAAGGCCAACACATGGACCATGCAATGCACAATACAGTCGGTTCTACTTCAACCCCGACACACAAACGTGTGAGACGTTTACCTACGGTGGCTGTGGTGGCAACGCTAACAACTTTCAGAGAATCACCGACTGTGAGAAAATCTGTTTCCCCAGTAAGACTTCACCTTACACATTACGTTTCCCTAGAATTCTTATTTTCATGCACAGTATCTTATATGACTACCCTATGTAACGGTTCGCTTTGGTAATATTTGTGGGGTCACTAGCTTAGTGGCATTTACAAACCAAAAAAGTGGTCGCCCTTAATTACTGTATGGTACTCGTTTAACTACATTATATAAGGTTATCTTCTAGTTTTGCTGGATGTGTGACATATCAGATGATCAACTTTAATAAGAATCGCAAACTGCCAGATGGCTATCATACATTATTATTATTATTTATTATTATCTCCTTTCTTGTATAGCTTGAATGTGTGCTGCGTGAGGTGGCTGCATTGCATGATATTCCCCCTCAGCTTGAGTAGGAATTGGAATCTGTCGGAGAGTTATGTTACATTTTATTTCAATACAAGGCTGGAATGTGTGATATAATATGTCAGATGGGCGCATTGCAGTATATTCCACGCCAGCATCAATAGACATTGGGATCTGCCAGATGTATATATTATATATTGTATTTCTCTGTAAAGCTTGGATGTGGGATAGGTCTGCTTGCTTCATTACATATTTCCTATGTTGAAGGAATGTATTTTCCTTTCCTTAGCTTGTGCTGAGATGTCTGATAGAGGGCCGTGCAGGGGGCTTATCAATCGGTACTTCTTTAATCCTCAAAGCCAAACGTGTGAGGTTTTTATCTACGGCGGCTGTGGCGGCAATTGCAACAACTTCATTAACATTACCCAGTGTGAGGAAACCTGTAACGACGGTATGTTATACTAACAGACTATTCCATAACATGTTTTCCTTCAAATATGTTCGAGGGGCGGTCGGGTAGCCTAGTGGTTAAAGCGTTCGTTCGTCACGCCAAAGACCCGGGTTCGATTCCCGACATGGGTACAATGTGTAAAGCCCATTTCTGGTGTCCCCCGCCGTGATATTGCTGGAATATTTTGCTAAAAGCGGCGTTAAACCATACTCACTCACTCACTCACTATAATCGATCAAGCTGGTTCTATGAAGACTTCAAAAATCGATAAATGAGTCTTGATCATAAGTTATTGGATCAGCATTACAACATTGCTAACACATACTGCAGTCCAAATAGTATGATGTATAAAAACAATGAAAAACAGTGTCCACCTACAGGGAACGGACGATATTGGTGTAAATGTAATCACGCGTATGTAGATATCGGAGCATGTTCACATTCCATTGTATCTATATATAAGCCGGGCTCACAGTGACAGTAGTGTTTCACTGGTGCTATGATCTTTGACAAATATACAAAATCGATCTGATGATGCTTTTGGCTTATTGACAACATACCCTGTGATTCAGTGTTCTGAATCCTGCATCACTTCTGTCTTTTCTCACCGCCTCCGTTGGCTTATGGTAGAGCGTCCGTCCGGGGAGCGGAAGGTCCGGGTTCGATCCCCGTCCGCGTCATACCAAAAGACGTTAAAAGATGGTACATGTTGTTGCCCTGTCTGGCGCTCAGCATTAAGGGTCCAATACAAGGACTGGTCGGCTCGGAGTCAGTATACTGTGTATGAGTGGGGTATTCATTTTAAACTGCGGCATGGTATTTCAGTGAGCTAGCACTATAAATCGGCATCAGTCCGGAGTAGTACAAGCAGCCACACATACACACACACGTACATGCATGTCGCTATATAAGTGCAATAATCTTGGACGCGACGTTAAACCCCGTTTCACCACCTGTCTTTTCTCTGACATTACGCTTTTGTGCATTGTTTTATAGTCTGTAACCTGAGACCAGAAACTGGACCATGCAGGGCGCGTGTCCGTCGGTTCGCCTTTGACCCTGCCACACAAAGTTGCAGGAAATTTATCTATGGCGGCTGTGGTGGCAACCCCAACAACTTCAAGACCATCAATGCCTGTCGGAGAAAATGCATTCCTGAATAAAAATCTCGATGTCCTTTGTGGGTTTCCTCTAATGTCTTTATATGTTTGGCAAGGAAACGGGGGTCTACTAACAGGGTACCCCAAATGATTTCCATGTCAATACTCAGTGCTTGTTTCCAACGACTCCAATTAGGACTGAGTGTCCAAGATGGCTACTGAATGTACACAGTACTCTCGTGATGACGGAGACGTGTATCCAGTATTACATTTCAAGTATGTATGTATTGATGCGTATAAATCTAAAAGTTAAAGTGGGTGTCGGTCGTCAGTGAACGACAAGCCAGAGTCATTGTCAGCGTACATTTCACCATATCCCATGTTGCATTCATGAACACCGGACACCAGGTGTCATCATTGTTTGTGTTTTGTGTTCCATAAAGACATATTTATGGTATAGTAGAAATCACACAATCGACTCTGCTTTCACTAGAGACTTCTTATGTTTGTAAAAAGTGTTTTATCGCTTCCATTTAAATCATGTTTACCAAGTTTTGCTACAAAATATATCGGAAGAATTCATCAAAGAGGCTGTCAATCTGAACAAGATTTTGATGTTTTGATAATGCATGTCTCAGAATTACTTTTTTTTAAAAAGAACCTTGGCTTTGTCCGAGTCACATTCGCTCTGCAGAGTTGGGTCACTTTCGCGTGCCAGATCCAAAAATCATTAGTGGAAGCTCGCTCTGGTTATGTTTCATGGTTTGTCAGCACCATATACGTGCTTGTGGGTTTCTCCCTTATTTAGATGACAGCTATGAAGATGGCTGAAATACCATTCAAAGAAGCGTTAGCTTCCCTGCTATCAACTGTTAGTTATTTGTTTGTTGTATTGAGGGAATTAAACTAATTATAGTATAATCGATGAATGTGTGACTACCACTGAAGTTGTGTTGACACGAACGCATAGACAAATCACAAGTCGTGCCACAGAAGTAACTTTCAAAGTTCCTTATATTGCGCATTACTGTTTAGGTAACATTTTATCTGACACATCAAACATAATACACTTATCATCACACATACTTATGTATTTCATGCTGCATAAATCATACACTCTGTTCTAATCATTCGGAATACCAAGTGTAATGAAGCGGAATAATATAGATACATCGCATGAAGCGTTTGCACTAGTCTCACCTTCATAGACGTAAAAACCCATGTGACCTTCGTGATGTTACATCTTGAATAAATAGCGGATTTCATTCGAATTTTCAACAAATGACAACTTTATGTAAATTTATGCAAATATTAGATGATTCAAAGCGACAAAACCCTTTCCATCTTCATACGAATTCTTTGCTAAAGGCAGAGTCGATTGTACTAAGGAGACTAAAAGTATACAAAGATGTTTAAACTCATTGATTGTACGATTCCGACTATATCATGAGCATGTGTTTATGAATCACTATCAAATACTGATGACACCAGGTGTTCGCAAAAAGGTGAGCCTATCTTGTCCCACCACTGGCACCCGTCACAAACACATGCAAAGGCAAGTCAATTGTTCACCTGAAAAATATACCAAAAAAACACGGGAACATACAAGTCAACGCATGGCAAAAATGACTTCACAACCAACACTACATACAGCATACCATATTACATGTATTGTATTCCTGTGTGTTAAGTAAATTCGATACGCTGCCAAAACTATGATGATCAGGAGGGTTTTGTGAAAAACACGTGCTACTTCACAGAAACTCACATGTCCCAATCGTGCTTAGTGTACCAAACACACCCTGTATCGTGGAAAGTACGTGCTTTCCGTGAAGACCTTGTTAACGATTTGGACATGGGAGTTTCTGAGAGTTAGTTACACAAATCAGTTTGGACAGTAAAGAGATGTCGTGGGAGAACTGTTAGACTAGATAAATTCTCTTTAAGCCAAGGCAATAGCTGTCATGGTAAAGCCTACAATGGCTTATGCTGGTGATAAACTGTGAGAAAGTAGTACAAACTGAAACTGAAATAAGTTTATTGATTCTGAAACTGCTGAAGTTATAAACACAGCACAAAGTCACCTAGCTCAAAGGTCAGATGTTATATCACGGTCATTTTACACAATTGATAGGCTGTTTAATGACAGGATCACGGAGGTCAAAAGTAATGTTTCTGTAGAATCCACTCATGAACCTCAAACAACCACATTGCCTAGACAACCAACTTGTGGTGTAATGCCAAGTTATGTTATGCCACAGTCGGAAAGTCAAGCAATAGGAAATGATATGTGGAAGCATCTTAAACGGTTGTCGATTCCAGTGTTCTCTGGTGACGTCAAAATTTATCAAAGCTGGAAAGCTGCATTTGTCACATGGATCGATCGTTCCCCAGGTACTGCAGAGTATAAACTTATGCAATTACGGAAATACTTCAGGTAGTGCTTTGAAAGTAATTCAATGGTTAGGACATAGAGCAGTGGTGTATGACATGGCTTTAGAGCGTTTGGAACGAAAGTTTGGAGGAACGAGAAGACGGATTTCCTTACAGTTCAAAACACTGAGTAATTTCAAACCTTTTCGCCAAGGCTGTGCGAAGGACCTGAGGAAATTTGCAGATGTGTTGGACATGGCAGTTGCTAACCTGACAGAAGCTGATAGGCAATGGATTAATGTACAAAATTGTGCTCAAGAAAATGACTGAAACAATGACAGCGCAATATCAAAGCTGGCATAACGACAGTGAACGCCAAGAAAGTGTAGAATCTCTGATAAAATGGATACTACAAGAATCTGAGTATCAGACCATGGCGTCTGAAACTGTACAAAAAGGAAAAACGACAGATTACAAAGGTAAAAGTCCTTGTACATTTGTCACTAACAAGTTGTATCAAAGCACTCCCTTTAAAAGAAACACTTCATGTATTAGTCAGTGGAGATAGTCATGATTTGTGGAGGTGAAGAGAGTTCAGGAACATGAGTGTCTCTGATAGATGGGACAATGCCAAAAAGCACAATGTTTTCGGTGTCTTGGTTACACTTATCTTGTGGCAAAGCGTAATTTCATCACACAATGTGGTATCAGTGGGTGTACTAAAACTCACAACAGACTTTTGCATGATTCAGCAAATTCAAATCAGACTCAGACAACAAATAAAGTTTTTTGCCGAATTTATATTTTTTAGGGATTCTGTTTCACTAAAACCCTAGGCAAGTCTAGATCATCCTAACCAAGTCAAGTTTAGTTGATTCCAAAACAGCAGAAGGGGAAAGGTTCTTTCGAATAAAAAAAATATATTTTATAGAAATGTTTTCATTGACGACGTGTCAGTCTATCTGTCGCCAGATCCTAGAGAATAAATTTGAAACGGACTGCAAGTAAAGAATTATATGACAAGTCTAGATTGCCTAGTTTAATAATTTTAACTAAGACAATTGTATTTCAGGGATATTGATTGATTTTAGATGTGTGTATTTAAAGATAAGAACATATTATGAAATATATAGATAATTCATAATGTAGCTGAGGTATGTGCATGTGTAAAAACTGTATTTTGTAGTCAACCAAAGAACACCTTATATTGTATATTGTTTTGAAATGTCTCGCCTCATGAACACGTTCCTTATTTCACTACTGTATTCAATTCCACACTTGACTGTACATAACATTTATATATTTTACCTGTATACGACGGCTACATGGGCAAGTACAACATGTGTTTGTTTAACAATTTTGTGTGTTGAAACACGTCTTATTTTAAAGGGAAATATAAACATTTAGTCTGTTCCGGTAACTTATTCTAACTTAACTTAACTAACGTAACTTATTATAACTATTGTTTCCTGAATAAAATATTATTTACTTCAGGCATACACATACTATTGGGTGTCATGTGACACCAGCTGTTGTTATCAACCAATACTCATGTCGTAAACAATCAGAGAAATGTGAAACATCAATGCTAGAGAATAACCAATTTCGATTTTTCCAACAAAACAAATTCCTTTTGGCGTAAACGTTGACGTTGATTAATGGATCACTGAAAATCAGTGATGAAGCAGTTGTTTTCAAACAGAAGTTGTTGCCTCAGATGAATAGATGAACTTAGGTCGAGACAGTAAGCTCTCAGCTCTCAGAACTCTTGTTTGCCAGCTGGGACCATGTCAATATACTATATATGAAATGTATGAACATGTTGAAAGCATTGACAGAGAGTATTGTTATCTGGAACGGTTCTGCAAACGATATAGACATTTTGTGATTCCATTAATGCACACGAAGATGTTTCATTTATCAAAATATGCCTGTGTTTGTTTGAAGGGAAGTTGTTCTTTACCGAGTTTGCTGAAGGCTTCAATGCAGGGTTGGAGTGCACAAAGACTATTCAGAGACAATCAATTAATTAATCAGTGCCACTTCCAGTGCAAATAAAGAATGTTTATTATAACATGTTAACGTCATTATGTGTATATACTTCACATAAATAAAGTACAAGTTTACTTTTCTACGGTTTTATATACATAAAGTTAAAGATTACTTTTTCTGCTTTTCTTGAATCACTCCATTCTTATACTTAGGTAACATAGGGTAGACCAGTCAGTGCCTTCCGCCATGACCTACGTTGTTTTAAGGTGTATTACAAATGGGACGCGAAACTGATGGGAGGATACCGATTACACTGGCCCAGTCTGACCCAAGGGGGATTCTCTCTACTCGTCAGTTCTCCGTGAGATACTGACAGCGTTGTGTGTCTCCCAGACCCAAGAGAGTCAATATGAAAATGATTCCAACTCAAGTCAAGAATGATTTGGCAAGTCTAGATTGCCTCAGTTTTGGCCCTGAAATCAAGCATTGCTTTGGTCTCCATTTGGATTCTATTGGATATATCATAGTTAACACTATCGTTTATTTATTATAATTAAAAACTGGTATATCCATTACTGCAATGGATATGTACATATGGTACATCAAGTATTACTAAACACTATTTTCTACCGTGCTGTGAATTTAACTGGTTCCATCGATATCTTTCCTGGTTGGTCTATCCATGTTTGATTCAAAAGCAATTTGTTATTTAAT